ACTCGGCGGTATCCTGCAGGAGGGAAAGGGTTAACCATACCCAGTCTTCAAGCTATAACATGCAAGCGGCCCAAGTCCCTTCTGGCAGCAGAAAAGTGCTTCCATGAAAGATTATCCCAGTCTATAGACTAGCCCAGCTTTCTACAACAATTCCCTTGGCTTTCCCTAGCAGTAAAGATCATGGGTCGGGGAGAACGCAGCGATTTCAGCCCCTCCGCACTGAAGAGAAGTCCGCATCTTGGCACCAACTTGGAAAAACCAAGTCGAAGTTGGAGTTCCAATGCCATCCGAAGACAGAGCAACACCTAGAGATCTAATATAGACAAAACCTATAAGTCTACGTTCACACTAACACTGCTGCCTGTAGGGTAAACGCAGGAGAAACTGCGCGGACTCATGCAAATGGGCAACTGAGCCCATACAACGTTAATGCCGGGGAGCACCAGGTGCTTGGCACAGTCTCCTATAGAAGTCAATGGCTGTACGCTGGTATGCATCCAGCTGCATATGTGTACAGACATGAATCACTGGAAGCAGAAAACCTGCGTCCAGGGTTTTAAGTCCGTGCACATACGCAGCTGTTCAGAAATACCGCTGTATACCCATGTACAGCCATTGAGTTCTATGGAAGGCTGTACGCAGCACCTGGGGCTCCCCGGCATTAACGTTGTATGGGCTCAGCCGCCTATGTGCATGAATCCTAAACACACTTCAGGCTTCCTTGCTAAAGTTAGCCTGAATTTTGATGTACCTGGCTTTACATTTACATGCGTTTACATGGATGCACAGGATTCTATTTTCTCTAAACACAGGTAGACCTCCAGCTTAAATGATGCCATTGAATATTATTATATGGGTTTAGAGATGCCTAGAATGTGAATGAGGCCTTACATAGGCATTTCTCCTATAGGGGTGAGATGTACACATGTGATGATGGATTGCACCCCATTATGGCACTTTGTTTTTCCTGTACTACTTAAAAATAAAACAAACTCTTGTATGCGGTCTGCGGATGTACACAAACTAAACAGCAGGACCAGATGAAAACAGAATAATGAGAACAATAAGAACAACCATCATTGGCCACTGATCACCCATCACTCCAGTTCCTGAGAGACTGGCCATTGATCACCCCTCATTCCTAATGGATGGGCCACTGATTACCCCGCTAACACATGTACCCCTCAACAGCTACACACCACTATTCCTAATGAAGGGGCCACTGATCACCCCGCTAACACATGTACCCCTCAACAGCTACACACCCCAATTCCTAATGGATGAGCCACTGATCACCCCGCTAACACATGTACCCCTCAACTGGTACACACCCCAATTCCTAACGGATGGGCCACTGATCACCCCACTAACACGTGTACCCCTCAACAGCTACACACCCCAATTCCTAACGGATGGGCCACTGATCACCCCACGGACACATGTACCCCTCAACAGGTACACACCCCAATTCCTAACGGATGAGCCACTGATCACCCCGCTAACACATGTACCCCTCAACAGGTACACACCCCAATTCCTAATGGATGAGCCACTGATCACCCCACTAACACATGTACCCCTCAACAGCTACACACCCCAATTCCTAACGGATGGGCCACTGATCACCCCACTAACACATGTACCCCTCAGTAGGTACACACCCCAATTCCTAATGGATGGGCCACTGATCACCCCACTAACACATGTACCCCTCAACAGGTACACACCCCAATTGCAAATGGAGGAGCCACTGATCACCCCACGAACACATGTACCCCTCACCAGGTACACACCCCAATTCCTAATGGATGGGCCACTGATCACCCCACTAACACATGTACCCCTCAGTAGGTACATACTCTCATTCCTAATAGATTGGTAACTGATCACCCCACTAACACATGTACCCCCTCAACTGGTACACACCCCAATTCCTAATGGATGGGCCACTGATCACCCCACTAACACATGTACCCCTCAGTAGGTACATACTCTCATTCCTAATAGATTGGTAACTGATCACCCCACTAACACATGTACCCCCTCAACTGGTACACACCCCAATTCCTAATGGATGGGCCACTGATCACCCCGCTAACACAAGTACCCCTAAATGAGTATACATTCCCATTGATCACTCCACTAACACATGGAGCCCTCAACAGATACACACCCCCAATTCCTTACATATGGGCCATCCATCACCCTGCTAACACATGTACCCCTCAGCAGGTACACAACCCAATTCATTATGGGTTTACTACTGATCATCCAACTAACACATGTACCCCTCAATGGGTACATACCCAGATTCCTTATGGGTTGGTAATTGATCACTCTGCTAACCCATGTACCCTGCAACAAGTACATACCCCGATTCCTTATGGGAATGATTGATCGTTGGTCATTGATCACCCCGCTCACACATGTACCCCTCAATGGGTACACACCCCAATTCCTAATGGACTGGCTATTGATCACTCTGCTCACACACTCAATTGGAACACACTGCAATTCCTCACTGAAGGGCCATTGATCGCCCCGCTAACACACACCGATTGTTTATGGGTTGGCCACTGATGCCCCCACGGTGTACACACCCGACCCCTTATGTCCTGGCTAGAAATGGGATGAGCAGAGGAGGAGAGGGTTAATGCCAGTGTGTAAACAATCTAATGACATGGAAATCACTGGGTCCAGCAAGGTGGAGAGCCGGGCACCCAGGACATGGGCACTGTATGAAGCTGGCACAGCAATGCCCCCATTGTGAATGGAGTGCACACACTCGTAGTATAGAAGCCATCTTGTCACCGAAGTACAGTACACACAGAAAGTTTTCCCTGTGATCGGACACCCCCCATCCCCGATCTTACCTGTACGATCTCCCCCTCTGCACTGATGGTGGCTCCAGCCCGGGAGAACCTCCCCTGTAACTCAGTAGTGTGGGTTTTATAATCTCCATTAGGAATGGACTCGAACAGAACCACTTCCACAAAGGCAGTCTCCTCAGCGAGGGAGCCCCCGGGGGCCAGGGCCAGCACTAGCCCCAGCCAGCCCAGGGCCAGGCTCCCCGGGATCCTCGGCTCCTTCATCTGGCAGGATGGGACGGGAACATCATTTCCGACTTGTCACTGGGGGGGGAGCCGACCGACTGCAGCACGATTCGGGGCTCCCCAGACACAATGGGGGCAGACGGATCGATAGATCCCGGGATCACACGGATACGATGGGCCGATCCTCCCTGCGATCACATCGGGAGCAGCCCGATCATTTCATCGGCGCTGTGCTGCTTTTGTCACTTCTTCCATGGCTCTCCTCTCCTATTCCCCCTCTCTCCCTTCTCTCTCCCTTCTCTGCCAGGCGGCATCCCTTTCATCTCATCCACGTGATTGTCTTCCTTTTTTTTTTTTTTTTAAATCCAAAAGGGGTTGTCCCCGCCTTCCAAATCTCCCTGACCCCTCTCTATCCACTCCCAGGGCCTTAGAGGGGGGAGCCAGGCGGAGAGAGAGAGAGCACAACACAAGGAGAATTAAAAGGCAGCCGGGGAGGGAGAAAGAGAGACAGAGACAGGGGAACATGAAGAACTTCCAACACGACTCTGGACTGTCCTCCTGTGTGATGATGGGAGGAGGAGGGGAGGAGGATGGGAGTGACACCCGGAGGAGGACAAAGATCAAAGCAGGAATCTCAGGGGACACTGCTGCAGGATAAGGGCACCTGAGACTGGGAGGAGGGGACTCTCATTAAACAACACACATACATGTTCTCCTCATGGCTTCCCGTGCACATGCTGCAGTCTTGTTTCCTGAACTTTTCTGTCTCCATCCCATAGCTTTGTGTTCCCTTTAACAAGCATTGCAGTAACTGTGCATGCAGATATAAAACGCACTGGTCTGGAGATGGTGTGAACAGGCGGTTGTATCAGACATGCAGAATGACGTAACAATAATTCTGCAATCACTTGTGTACGCAGCACTTGATAATATAAAGGGAGACGGTAGAGATTTAAGACAACAGGCTTAGGAGGAGTCTTCTGATCCTGAGAGCTTACAATCTAAAAGCAGGGGCCAAGTGATACAAAAAGGTAGTACGGGCGTGTGGATGTATTGATGTAGTACAGGGATGGGCACTCCAACTGTGGTGAAACTACAAATCCCATGCATCTGTCTCTGGGAGTGTGGCTATGAGAATCTTGCAATGCCTCATGGGATTTGTAGTTCCGCAACAGCTGGAAGGCCAGAGTTGCCCAACCGTCCCTCATTTGGAACCGGATCCCTCCGTCACTCTTTCCTCCTCAGTTGTCCCTCTTTTTGGTGTGATGTAAAGATTTCTATGGAAAGGTTTTATTTTACTACTACAAGTGTTAAGTCAAGTATAAATGTTTCTATTTCATTCCTTCAACACGTGGGCTGAATAAAGAAAATAGAAGAGATTCCTTCATCAATGCTTAAGAGATTGATCAAGATTGATCCTGCTGTTTCCTTTGTATTCTGATAGGGGCCATCGGCAGCTCCTCTGATCAGCTGATCGAAGGATGCTGGTTGAAAGGGTGCCAACAAGGGCACCCAAACATTGAATTTTGCCTGGTTCATCACAGCCACCGTCCATTCCGATTAGCGGGGGATTTATCGATGGAGCAGTCCAGAATGGATGCCACTTATGTGACATCTGTGCCCAAATCTTAGGGATATCCAATCACACTCCTGACTGATATTTCATCCAAAGTTACTTCAGTGGGTGCTGTAGTGACCAGCGGATGGAGCTACATCTAGCAGAAAGAAGAATGAAGTCACCTCCACACCAGTGTCCGCCTTATCGATCCATCTTTATCGACGTCAGATAATCATGGTGTCACAGTGAAAGTCAAAGTTTCCAAACCGCATGGGGTTCCTTCATCAGGCAAACAATCACATCACATTGTTTGCCTGATGAAGGAACCCCATGCAGTTCCAAAATGTAGCTTTTCACACCATGATTATCTGACATCAAATAAGATGGCTCAATAAGGCGGACACTGGTGTGCTGGTGCCTCATTCTTCTCTCCCTGTTCAAATGTCACAAAAGGAAAATACAGAGCTGTATAGATATGTTGGGTCAATGGCGGGGGGGGGGGGGGGGGCAACTCTAGTCCTCCAGCTGTTGTGGAACAATATGTCTCATGAGGCATTGCAAGCTTGACAGTTACAGGCATGACTCCCAGAGGCAGAGGCATGTTGAGCAGGGATGCACCGATACCATTTTTTCGGTATGGAGTGCAAGTACTGATAATTTCTTTTTCGGTATGGAGTACGAGTACCGATAATTTATTTTTCGGTACTCGCCGATGCCGTGTACCTGTGCTGCGTGCCCCGATTATCAGGAAGTCAGGCGGCGGTTCATGACCCATCACCCGGCTTCCTGATTGCCTGTGAAGCCAGTGTTCTTGCGAAAGAACACCGGCCGAGGCTGCCGGGCTTTCTGACCAATCTGGAAGCCGGGACGCGAGTCATGACGTGCCGCCGGCTTCCTGATTGGTTAGGAAGGCAGGCTGCCTACCAACAATTAAAGCTTGCCAATCAGGAAGCCGGGCGGCACATCATGACCTGCCTCCCAGATTCCTGATTGGCTAGGAAGCCGGCTTCAATTGTTCCTAGGCAGCCTGGCTTCCTGACCAGGGATGCGGATCATTACGTGCCTCCTGGTTTACTGATTGGTAAGGAAGCTAGGCTGTCTAGCAACAAGTGAAGATGGCTTCCTAGCCAATCAGGAAGCCGGCTCCATGCTCCCACAGCACTGCCAGTCAGAGGGAGACACTATTTTGTTTGGACCAGACCGCAGGCATAATGTGCCTTGCATTCCCGTGTGGCCGAGGGCGTGGCTACGGTGCCATTCATTTCAATGGACCGCCACGCCCCCTCCTGCCTCACAACATAGTGAGCCGGCCACAATGCAATGCAGTGCGTTCTGGCCAGAATCGGGCCGGAACGCACTGCGTCTGGTGGGAACGAGCCCTAACTCTCAGCAGTAGTCATTCGGTGCTGACTGCAATGTACAGGGGTGAGTGAGTTGTACAAAACACTGCAGCTGAGACACATGGGACACACTTTAGTAGTGTGGAGTTCTTTTTACACTGCATGTCAAAAATAGTTTTTTGCTGGCTTTTAGCTTTAATCTCCCCAAAGGTGACATAGACAGCAATACAAATCTGACTCAAAACACGTTTGGGTTTAGATACATTTTAACACAGAGATGAGAATATTGATTTTAACCACGAGACTTGACTTTTCAAATTTCATTGGACTTATCCAAAACATTGCCTTTAAAAAAGAAGAGTGCAGTGGGATTGGTCGGATTAGTTCACTTTATGACTACCAGAGTTCTTTTGTTAGGTGCCGTTATTGAAGTAAACTTTACATAAACATGCAAGCTTCGTTTCTTAGCTCCCCGAATACAAAATGTGAGGTTAAAGAAAAGTAATAAAATATCAAAGGAAAGAAATAAACAATATTCCCCTGACATCTCGACTTCCAGTGTGCTCATCTAGGTGAGCGCTAGAAGGGTTATTGTTTTATTACTTTTTTTTTTTTTCTGATGTTTCATTTTGTTTTTTTAACTTAGCAGTGTTTATTTTGGGGGGTCTATCTAATACAGGGGTGAGCAACTCTGGCCCTCTAGATGTGCTTTAACTGCAAATCCCAACGTGCCTCTGCCTCTGGGAGTCATGCCTGTAATGGGACTTGTAGTTCCACAATAGCTGGAGTTGCCCACCCCTATTATAGGGTATCAGCTCTAAGTCTGTTGGGGCTACCAATATCACATGCAAGCTGGCAGTGCCCAACAACAGCCTCAGAGATTTTAGATGTCTACACAAGGAGGATTTTATATTTAGTTCCACAACAGCTGGAGGGACAGAGTTGCCCAGCCCTGATCTAATGAGTGAACCCTGCATTTTCAAACAAGGTCCAATTGAATGTCTATGTGCCCCTTTTTTACAATCCTTTTACATGCAGTTTCCAGTCCTCTATGTGTTTAGGGTTTCATATAATGTACCTCTGTGCAAGGTCATTACTAAGGGCCCGTTCACACATACTGCGGTGACCTGCGTTGTACTGCACGAGATCAATGCAGGTCACCCCAAGGACATATAAACCACAATGCGGGTGTAATGGGTGGTGCAGTGTGATAAAATGCACAGATGCTGCATTTTGTCATAACACACTGGGTGCCACCGCAGGTCACCGCACGGCAGCGCACCTTACTGTGCTACTGTACAGGGACCTAAATGGAGTGTACACATTGTACACTCCACATAAAGTTTAAAAAAAAGAACAAGTGTAAACAGTGACAATGTGGATACAATGCATACTACTGGATCTGAACGGGCCCTATTCTGACTCCGATCGTTGTGATAGCGAAATATATCCCTTGCTGAGACCTCTATGCCTGGCCTGTATAAGCAGATATACTCACTGCGGACAATCCTTGTCAGATAGCTGAACTCGTCAATACCGATTCATTCAAAAGAGGTGTTTATTCTTTACATCAGGATTACAGCAGATGATAGGAACAGCAGATGAATGGTTATAGTATTGTGCGGTCAGAAAATGATGCCTTTCCTACGTACTGTGCAGATTACATGTGTGTCCTTGTTACATGTGGCTTCTAACTGTGGCCATGACACAGGAAGTACTGCACACAGGAAGAAGGAAGGGGCGTACACTAGGGGGAAATACATCGTCACACCAGTGTGTAGCATGGACTAACCTTGTTGTAGTGCAGTCAGGCCTTGTCCACTTGGAGAAACATCCATAGTGTTGACAACTTATATTCTATGCCCCTATTGGGGCGGCACAGGCCCTAAAAAATATCTCTGGCCCTTTGCATTTTTCCCTGTTGCTTGTTAGTTCTCATTCCCACAGGTGTGTGGGCATATAGCGGAAAATACAGCAGAGCCCCAGCTGTTGTGTATTTGTGTTCATACATGTGCAATACATAACGCATACGCGTACACATGTAAATGGCAGTACTTGCCTTCATATGCGCACACCCACTTATAGTGTATAGACACAAATACGTAACAGCTAGGGTTTCTAGGCGGCGCAAATACAAGCATATTTTCTGTTGTATGCCCATATGCAAGTATTTGTGTCCTTGGGAGTAAGCCCTTGTAAGTCGGTTGGCAGTCAGAGGTGCTTGTTGTTGTA